AGCGGTTGCCTCCCGAATCACTTTATCTTGGTCCAGGTCGTCCTGGCTGACCAGTCTCCTCCGGCGCTTAGGCTCCCTGAGTCCCAAGAGGAACTGGTTGAGGAGAACTTCAGCTAGGTTGGAGAAGGAACACCTGGTGGCGCCCCGACGCAGAGCCGCCAAGAAATCCGAGGCGGTCTCGTCGGGGCCCTGGACTTTTGCAAAAAAAGTCAATGCGCTCCACAAACTTAGTTGGTTTGGGGGCCAGGTGGTCGGTCAGTGCCTTGACCATAGAGTCATAAGACTCATTTTTTGTCAGCCTGGGTGCTATTAAGTCTTTAAGCAGGAGATGGGCCTCCATGCCACAGTGGTGCAGAAGGTACACTTTTTCATACCTGGGTCCGCTACGTTATGGATGGTGAAGTGGCTCTCGAGGGTCTCCAGCCACGTTTCCCACTGCGAGGGTTAGGAAATATCGAAAGCCGGTAGACTCTCTGATGCGGCAGCCATCTTACAGTTCAACGTGGAAGCAAACGGCGGGAACTAGCGGGTGTAGAGAAGGAGTGGTGCGGTGCTGCTCTCAGGGTCAGCAGTGCAATGCTCAGAGCTGGGAGCGGTGCGATGAGCGGCGCCTTCGACAAACGCACGATGCCGGCGGCAGTGGCGATTTCGACGCAGCAACTCAAAGTGATGCCCGGACTGTGGTCTCTGTTCAGAGAAAGATGGAGCCCATCCTCGTCGCCAGTGAAAAGTACGCGGACGGATGAGTGATTTCAACTTAGCGTACTTTATTAGATCAGGAACAAGACAACTTTAGCCGGCTCGCAGACCGGCTTATATGTCCCTTGGAACCGCCACCCATAACACCCCCCCACTTCCCAATAGGTTATTTACAGTGGCCGAGAGTTCCATAGGCTCTCGGCCGGGAACCTAGCCCACTGATTGGCGCGGGCTAGGATCCTCATAGTCCATTGTCTCTTTGAGTGAAGCTCGACGTTTGCGCTGGACCGCAATGAGCCCAAGCTGGCCACGCGGTCTGAACTGGATATATTACACACTCCTTCCCAGTGTCAGCAAGCTGTCAAATGTTCTTTTCTGATGTCCTATGTATGCGCATGCTCGCTTTCCTTCTCATTTGTAGATGTGTTGATGCGCTTAATCGCTTGACTGCAGGAACATGTATATCTCTCAAGGCCACAGGTGGTTCGCTGCTAGATAGTTGCTTAGGTGATCTCTCGGCTTGGCTGTGGGAAGAAAGTTGTTATGCAGACTAGAAGTATTTTGCTCCCAGGCTCAATGGCGCGCGTGGGAATCCCCGTAATTGGGCCTCAGCTGTTTGAATGTAGTATAACATGCCACGCTCTTTGAATATCTCTCATACCTAACAGTGATTCTGTACATGCACCCATCGCTTCAAATAAAGTAACCGTTTCTACATCCTACGTTGATGCTGTGTGGAGCCTGACATACTGTTAGGTATCCTTCCTTCCTTATCTCAGCACATCTATCGCCATCGATATGAGTGACGGTGAGGGGAATCTTATTCCTGATGGGATGGAACCAGAGGACCCGGACTTAGAAGGGAATCCCCCGGAGACCACGGCATCGGTACCGGTGACTACAACGCTGCCAGTGTATATGGTCAGGGACCTGTCTACCTGAGGGACTGCCTTTTCCCGTATGTTCCCCAGAGAGCACTGAGATCTGGGATGCAACATTGCCTGACCCTTCCTGGCCCTAAAGAGGCCAGGTTGACAACAACTAGGTCTAGAGCATTTTCGCCAGCTGCACCAGCATATTGGAATGAGCTCCCTAGTGAGATCCAAGCCCTGCAAGATCTCCAGCAATTTCGCAGGGCTGTGAAGACGGAGCTTTTCTACTGGGCATACCAGTGAGAGCGATGGTATGCCAGCCAAGCCTGCCGACCTCCTAAGACATGTATTTTGTATAAGTAGTTAGCAATGTGGTCGAGGTCCAGTCGTAATGATTTACTGAACCACTTTTACTTATATTTATTGTATTTATGTAAGTTGTTTTATGGATTAATGTTTTATCTATGTTGGTTTTGTTAATGTTGTGAGCCACCCTGAGCCACTTCGGCGGAAGGCAGGATAAAAATTGGATAAATAAATAAATAAATAGATCAGCGGTGTGGGGGGCATCTCTCTCTCTGTCTCTCTCTCTGTCTCTCTCTCTGCAAAAGGCCGATCCTCCCCGCACAGGCTTGTGACCGGAGTAATGGGGTGAGGCGTGGGGGGGAGAAGGTTGCTTCAGCAGCTTTTCCTTCCTCCCCACTCATGCCCAATTTCACTTTATTTGGAACTTTGTAGGTGCCCAGTTGGCTGCTCTGCATCCAGCGTTTTGTGCACGGGGCTCTGTTTTATTTCTTAGATTGATGGGCAGTTTGAGAAGAAAGCTGAAGCACTGAAGAGAGCTCCAGTGGGGGTAGGTGAGATCGGGTTGGGAACTGTGCTTTTGGTACTTTGCAAAGTGGTAAGGGGCACCGTGCCTCAGAGCATGTGCAGAGTGACTTCCCATGGAGCAAAAAATGCCATTCAAAAGCAGGGCATGACTGTGGGGCAGCGAGAATTCCTTGGGTTCCCAGATGTCACACCCTGGCTTTTCTGCATAGGCAGCAGGCAAAAGTTCCCAGGCACAAGTCAGTGAAATCATTAACTTTAATTTAATTAACTTTAATTAAGTTAATCTCTGGATTTTGAAACAAATTCAAAATGACTGCCCCTGACACTGGCATCACCCTGATATCTAAATTCTTTCCTCCCCACCCCCAGGGCACCACCTGAGAGCTGAAGGATGAACTCCTCCAGAGAGACGATCACCTTGAATGTGGGCGGAGTCCGATATGAGACCTCCCCCAGCATTCTCCAGGCTTTCCCAGGGACCAAGCTTTGCCGCCTCACAGAGTCCCAGGCTGACAACGTCTTTGACTATGACTGCAACACCAAAGAGTTTTTCTTTGACCGAAGCCCTCGGATGTTTGGTGCAGTACTGAACTACTACAGGACCAAGCACCTCCACTGCCCAGAAGATATCTGCAAGTCTACATTTGAGGAGGAGCTGGCATTCTGGGAGATCAGCCATGTTCCCGTGGCTCCCTGTTGCTGGTGGAAGGTGATGAATGCGGAGTCCCGGCAGGCCGAGGGCTCTCTCTGTGACGAGAGAAGCGAGGCTGGCCACCAGGGTCTCCCGGCCCCAGTGGAAAGAAGGAATCTCAGCTGGCGGGTTAGGCAGCAGCCCAAAATCTGGGCTCTCTTTGAAAAATCCTTCTCTAGTTGGCCTGCAAAGGTAACTCGCTCAGTGGCAAGGGGCCAAAGAAGATGCACAAAGATGGGAGGGGGAGGCTGGGGAGGGATTCTGGGGACGGTCATCTGAAGACGCTCAGCTAGACAGTATCTCTGCGACACTTGCAGTTGCACATAAAATCTGGGAGCAAAAGTTCCCAAGTGCTCTGGGGTCCAGTTTCCCTCTGGATTAGGCATGGGGAAGGAGGGCCTTCAGCCTCCCCTCCGGTATCATCTTCCCAAGCTAAGGTGTCCAGGGGGGGCCTGTTTGCTGCACTATGGGCACCACATGCTGCAGTCAGAAATGCGTGGAGCCCCACAGCAGGGCAAGCAGGCCCCCATGGCCCTTGCAGCTCAGGAAAATGGTGCAGGAGGGGAGGCGGAAGTCCTTCATCCTCCAGTACTGCATCCCTGGGCCTAAATGGGCTCCAGAGTACTTGGGAACTTAAGTCCTCCGATGTCACGTATGACCGAGAGGTAGTTCAGGGGACCTTGACCTGACTTGTGTCACACCTCTCGTCTAGCCTTGAGACCAAATGTTTTACAATCTTCTGTGTCTTTTTTACATCTGCATGAGATGCAGAAATTCAGCAGGTGCTGCTTGGTGATGCAATAAGGAATGAAAGGATTTGCCTGTTGAATTTTTGCTAACAATGCAACCAGGGACCCTGCCAGAAGATGAGTAACAACCCATTTGCAGTGGGAATTCTGATTGTTTAGCATTGCTCTCAGAAACACACTATGGTCTTAACAAATCTAGAGGCAGCACAGGAATACAATGCTGCAACAAATCCCTGCACCTACCTTCCTCTCACATCTGCTGAGGAAAGCAGGACTCAGTTTTGGTCAGCAATATCCGATCTGAACTCTCAAACCTGAACTCTCACAAGAAGCTAAAAGGACTAAACTGAGGCTATTATAGTTTAGTCACATTATGGGAAGGCACGACTCACTAGAAAAGACAATGACACTAGGAAAAGTTGAAGGCAGCAAGAAAAGAGGGAGAACCAACAGGAGATGGGCTGGCTCAACCAAGGAAGCCACAAAGGACCTCAGTGTGCCGACCTGAGCAAGGCTGTTAACAGTCGGAGGGCTTGCCATAAGTTGGAAGCAACTTGACGGCACTTAACACAAATGTATCTGATCTAGTTATAACAGACTCTGTCTGTTTATTTAGTTATTTCCATGCTACTTTTCTCCACAAAGTGGACCCAAAGCAGCTGACAACATTGTTCTCCTGTCCTCTGTTGTATCCTCACAACAGCCCTGTAAGGTAGATTAGGCAGAAAGACAGAGTTGATCTCGGAGCTTCCACGGAAGAGTCAGGATTCCAACCTGAGTGTCCAAGAGGAAGGATTCAGACTTTGCCTAGTGGAGGAGCAGGATGGGGCAAGACCAGGATCCCAGCGTTTGGATGGGGCAGAATGGAGATCTGCCATAGGGCAACATTCACAAAGTAATCTGGTGATATAACTGACTTTTCTCTCTCTTTTCAGTGCCTGGCTGTTGTTTCTCTGCTCTTCAACATTGGAATAGTCATCATTTTTGAGGAGAAGAGTCGTGCACAAATACACTACCCCTATCCCTTGCCAATACATGATGACGTTGGAAATCAGACACACCATGAAATCCGTGGCGCCTTCTACCAGCCAGCTAATAACTTCCTGTACTTGGAGCTTTTCTGCATCTTCTGGTTCACATTTGAGTTTTCTATGCGACTCTCATTCTGCCCAGACAAAAAGAAATTCCTTACAAACCCTCTGAATATTACTGATTTCCTTTCTCTCTTTCCGGTTTACATTGAGCTTTTCTTAACTGGACATATCAACAATATGCTAAGCCTCTTATCTTGGCTGGGTTTCTTACGTGCCCTCTACATCGTCAAACTCCTGAAGACCCTCAGGCTCCTAGAGACCCCTCTGATGCTGCGGATTCTGCCCGCCACATTCCGATTCATCTTGAGAGAGGTCTTCATCCTCATGATGATTTTTAGCTTTGAAGTCCTTTTCTTTGGTGCCCTCTGCTATCATGCGGACCTCCAAAGTCCAGAAACACACTTTGATGGAATGCTCTCTTCCTTCTATTGGGCAGCGATCACCTTGACCACGGTCGGCTATGGAGATACGTTTGCTGTCAGTCCATTGGGCAGAGCCATCGCATGCTGCACAGCCATCTGTGGCATCCTGACCATCATCATTCCCCTCCCAGTCTTTTTGATCAAGTTCCAGGGCTATTATGCCACCGCCGTCATGAAGGAGAAGATGAAAAGCAACAAGAGGAGCAACCAAGAGAACCACAGGGCAGCATCAGTCCAGCTATTTACAGGATGAGGAAAAACACTTTTGGAGAGCTCACACTATTATAACACAGTTGTATCTAGTCTAGTGGTCTTCTTTTACGGTGTAAGGTCTAGTGCTGCTTCTTTTACTGAATTGTATTTAAAGATGATTCTTGTGTACAAATAGTGATCTTCTTGCCTGGGGTGTGTGTGTGGAGAAACCACTTTTTCTTCAGTGCCCTCCTTTCCTGTGATGATTGGCTGACACCCCCTCTCCCTAGTGGAGTTCAGTTTAGGCCTCCATGGTAGGCTGTGACTACATTGGCCAGGGGTGGACTGGGAACCTAATATGGCCCTGGAAGGGAATGGTCCCTCCCACGGTCCAACAGAACCTTGCCCAATGGAGGACCCAAATCATCAAAGGCAGGAGGAGCTCCTGATCATCCAGGGGAGGACCACCCAATACAGCTGAGTCAGCCGGGGAGGAAGGAGGCCTCCAACCCAGGCATTGCCCCTCACAGCCACTGGGGAGACGTCTGGCTGGGAGAGAGGCAGGCACCCCCCTCCCCCAAAGAAGGCCTTCAGCTCAGATGACCTCAGAGGCTCACTGGCCTTTCCAGGTCCCTTATGCTTTGCCTCTGCTGGGTATGGTGGGGGGAGCCAGAGGAAGCCGGAACTCCATGTCTGCAGACCAAGCTATGGTTCAAATTTGCTTCACACCTATCTTTGTCCCAATTCCAACAAGGCTACAAACATAGAATCAGAGTTGGAAAAGACCTCCAGGGTCATCTAGTCCAACCCCCTGCACAAGGCAGGAAATGTACAAATACCCCCTACTCCACACCCACAGTGACCTCTGCTCCACACCCAGAAGATGGCAAAAAACTCCAGGATCCCTGGCCAAACCAGCCTGGAGAAAAAGTTGCTTCCTGACCCCAAAGTGCCAATCAGCATTTTCCCGGGTGTGTAAGAAAGGGCCATGAGAACTAAGCACTGAGGCAACCTTTCCTGCCCTCCCTCTCAGGATCTGCCCAAGTTCACAGAATCCACATTGCTGTCAGATGCCCATCTAGCCTCTGTTTGAAAACCTCCAAAGGAGGAGATCCCACCACCTCCCCAGGAAGCCTGTTCCCCTGATAAACCAGTCTAGGGTTCTTCCTAATGTTTAGCCGAAAAATCTTCTGATTTAATTTCAACCCATTGGTTCTGGTCCGACCTTCTGGGGCAACAGAAAACAACTCTGCACCATCCTCTATATGACAGCCCTTCAAGTACTTGAAGAAGGTTATCATATCACCTCTCAGTCGTCTCCTCTCCAGACTAAACATACCCAGCTCCTTCAATCTTTCCTCATAGGACTTTGTCTCCAGACCCCTCATCATCTTTGTTGCCCTCCTCTGGACACGTTCCAGCTTGTCTATATCCTTCTTACATTGTGATGCCCAAACTGAAAACAATACTCTAGCTGAGTCTAACCAGAGCAAAGTAAAGTGGTATCATCACTTCGCATGATCTGGACACTATACTTCTGTTGATACAGCCCAAAATCGTGTTTCCCTTTTTAGCTACCACATCACACTGCTGACTCATGTTCAGTGTATGGTCTACTAAGACCCCTAGATCCTTTTTGCACATACTACTGCCAAGACAAGTCTCCCCCAACCTATAATTATGCATTTGATTTTTCCTCCCTAAATGCAGAACTTTACATTTATCCCCATCGTAATTCATTTTATTTGTTTTAGCCCAGTTTTGCAGCCTGTCAAGATCATCCTGTATCCTGACTTTGTCTTCTACTGTATTTGCTACCCCTCCCAATTTAGTATCATCTGCAAATTTAATAAGCATTCCCTCTATCCCTTCATCCAAATCATTGATAGTTGAATAAAACAGGTCCCAGGACAGATCCTTGAGGCACTCCCCTTGTCACTCCTCTCCAAGAGGGTGAATAACCATTCACAGGCACTCTTTGGGTGCGATCTGTCAACCAGTTATGGATCCACCTAACAGTCATAGGATCCAAACCACATTTTTCCAATTTGTCAACAAGTATATTATGTGGAACCTTATCAAAGGCCCTATTGAAATCAAGATAAACTATGTCTACAGCATTCCCCTGATCCAGAAGGTAGTAACTTTCTCAAAAAAAGAGATAAGGTTAGTCTGACATGACTTGTTCTTGAGAAACTCATTCTGGCTCTTAGTAATCACAGCCGTCCTTTCTAAATGCTCAAGGACTGTCTGTTTGATGATTTGTTCTAAAAATATCCCAGGTATAGACATCAATCTGACAGGTTGGTAGTTACCCGGATCCTCCTTTCCCCCCTTCTTGAAGATGGGTACACCATTTGCCCGCCTCCAATCTTCTGTCACCTCACCTGTTCTCCAAGTATTCTCAAAAATAATGGACAGAGGCTCAGAAATTACATCCACAAGTTCTTTTAGTACCTTTGGATGCAGTTCATCTGGCCCCAAGGACATAGTTTCATTTAAAGAAACTAGGTGTTTATGTACTATCTCTATGCCGATCCTAGGCTGCAACTCCCTTCCCTCATCATGTGTTCTGTTTTTGCCATATTGAGCACTGTTTCTCTTGCAAGAGAAGACTGAGGAAAAGTAGGAAGCGAGCAGATCTGCCCTCTATTCATCACCTGTAACAATTTCACTTTCCTGTCCCCGCTATGGGCCTACCATGTCCTTGCTCTTTTTCTTACTTTGAACAAAAGAAAAGAACCCTTTTTGGTGTTTTTAGTGTTTCTCCCTAGCCTAAGTTCATACTTAGCTTTAGCTTTTCTAACTCTCTCTCCACAAGCACTGGTTATTTGTTTATATTCATCCTTGGTTATAAAGCCCTCCTTCCACTTTCTGAATGAGTTTTTTTTTATTTCTCAATTCTTTAGAAAGCTGTTTATGGAGCCACCTTGGCTTCTTTAGGCTCCTCCCATATTTCCTTCTCATAGAAATCGTTTGTGATTGTGCCTTCAGTATTTCACTTTTAAGAAACTGCCATCCCTCTTGAACTCCCTTCTCCTTAAGTATTTCTGACCATGGGATTCTACCCAGCATAACTTTAAGTCTGTCAAAATTTGCTTTCCTGAAGTCCAACCTATGTGTCTGATTACATACAGCTTTTACCTCCCTCAGGACTGTAAATTCCAAAATGACATGGTCACTATTACCCACGGTGCCCTCTACTTTCACCTCATCAACCAGTTCTTCCCTGTTGGTAAGAATTAAGCCCAACATAGCAGATCCCCTTGTTTCCCTCTCCATTTTCTGGAAAATGAAGTTGTCAGCAAGACAAGTCAGGAATTTATTGGACCTTTCATTTTTAGCAGAGTTGGACTTCCAACAGATATCTGGGTAATTGAAATCTCCCATAACCACCATGTCCCGTGTCTTTGAGAACTTTGTAATCTGTTCTAGGAGTGTCTCATCCAAATCCTCTGCCTGGGTTGGTGGTCTATAGCAGACCCCCGCCATAATGTCAGTATTATTTCTTACTCCTTTTATTTTTACCCAGAGACTCTCAACTGGACTTTCATGCTCAGATTCATGTATTTCCTCACAAGTATATACCTCCTTTACATATACCTCCTTTAACTTCCTTATTTGTCTGTCCCTTTTAAATAAGTTATACCCCTCAATCCTAATATTCCAGTTGTGAGTGTCATCCCACCAAGTTTCAGTAATGCCTATTAGGTCATAGTCCCCTTCCTGTCTTAGGACTTCAAGTTCCTTCTGCTTGTTTCCCATAGTCTGCGCATTAATGTAGAGACATTGGAATCCATGTTTTATGCACCCTGAGGTTTTCATTTCTGTACTTACATGTGAGTTAATGTTATCTAGCATATATGCCGCTCCCCGCAAAATTTTAGAGTTCTTATCTCCAGTTATTGGTATCATACGGGGCTTTGCATTTTTGTCTCACTCCCCCACAGGATTTAGTTTAAAGCTCTCCTTATTAGGTTTGCAAGACTGTTTCCAAACACTTTCTTCCCTACCCTTGTGAGGTGCATGCCATCTGCAAATAGAAGAGCTTCATCTCAAAAGCATAAGCCATGGTCCAAAAATCCAAACCTTTCCTGATGACACCATCTACATAGTCAGTCATTGATCTGCAGTATTCTTCTTTCCCCTCCTAAGCCACAGCCTTCAACAGGAAGAACTGACAAGAACACAACCTGCACTCCCAATTCCTTCACCTTTTTACTCAGAGCCACATAGGCCCCGTTCACACGGAGCATTTGCCGCACTAAAGAGACGGATGATAGGCGGATTATCAGGGTGCAATCACACCGCAACATTTGGGAAGCATAGTGCTCCCGTGGCTAACCCATGGCCTCCCATCGATGATGCGCGTTAAAAAACTAGTACCTTGGAGTTTGCCAAGAGCTGCCTCCAGATGCCGGTGGTGTGATTGCGCCGGCGCGTGGCATTCCCCTCCGGTCCCTCGTTTACCCGCCAGCGCTGAGGGAAGGACCCGTGGTGTGCCGCCGGCGCCTCTGATCGTGTAATCGCAGGTCAAACTGCGCCAGGGCAATTAGTCACACCTCCCCCCCGCGATATCCGGCCCGTGTGACCAGGGCCATAGTCTCTTTTAATATGTGCTAGGCTGTGCCAGGCAGTATAATTTGTTTTCATGTCGGATAATAATCCGTGGGCTTGCTGAGTCTTCCTACCCTTTCCATCACATCCTGAATGTGTGCACCCGGTAGACAGCATACCACTTGAGATGACAATTCTGGTCAGCACACTTTAGCTTCTACCCCTTTCAGCAGGGAATCTCCAATTACCAACATACGCCTTCTCCTATATTGGGGAGCAGAGGCTTGAGTCCTCTCATCCACAGGGGTCTGAGAACTTTTCTTCAAGCTTTGTGGAGGCTGGGGGTGGAGCCCTTGTTCCAGTGGTTCAGAATCAATATCTGTGGATTGCTTAGTAACCAGGAACCAATTAGTTAGCAACAGAGGCTCAAAATGTCTCATCTTCCTGCTCCTGTGGGTTATATTCTTCCATGTGCTCTCCTCCTGTGTTGGGTGCTCCTCCATTTACTGAGATACCTTTTCCTCCTCCTCTTGTTGCCATCTCAGGAGTGCTTCATCCATTCTGTCCATGAACTCCTCACCTTCCCTTATAAACTGGAGTGTGGACAAGCATGCCTCAAGTCCCTGTATCTTCTCCTCCAGTTGGGCTACCAACTTACACTTGCTGCAAGTGTAATTGCTGTTACCCTCAAAAAAGAGCACACAAGAAGGCAGTTTG